CCCCCCCCTCCCGGGCAGATTTTTCAAATTTATAAGCTTTTTGTAGGAAGCAAAATTGGAATATTTTCAGGTCCTGCTCAGCTGATTCGCCTTGGCCTACTATTTACCAATCAAATATTATTCAGTTTTATTCCTTGATAGTCAATTATTCAGATTCTGAGGTTTTCTAACTCTTTAACTTTAAATTATAATTTTTGAAGAATTTTTTTAAATTGATGGATATTTAATTCCATTTTATTTTGAGAAATGAGTAATAAAAAGGAAGCCCGGTGCACTAAGGTCAAGTTATGCGCAGGGTCTATTGTACGCAGCCTTACCCTGCATTTCTGCAAGAGTCTGTTTTCACGGCTTGAAGCCGGGAGAAATTCAAAAATAGCCAGATTTACAAGTGGTCATTCAAAAATAGCCACAGTTTCAAAAGCAATCGAAATTTAGCCATTTTTCATTTAAAGATAAATCTGAATGAAAACACTGTTTAAAATCCGGAAAAATACTCCAGTATATTATCCAGTATACTTATGCTGGAACTCCAGTATAATATACCGGTCCAGCATAATATACTGGAGATTGGAGCAGTATATTATACTGGAACTTTTCGCGTGTTGGAGTTCCAGCATAATATGCTGGAAGTTCATACACGGGTGCACCAATCTCCAGTATATTATGCTGGAACTTTTCATTTTGCAACAAAATAATGGCTATTTTTCAATGACTTTGCAAACGCTGGCTATATTTGAATGACCAGTCCGAAAACTGGCTAGCGCGTGCTATTTTTACGGTTGAACCCGTGACCTCGTGGTCACATGGCAGCAACTTTACCAGTTACGCCAAAGCTCCCTTCCGAGAAATGACTAATAATTCATGAAAAACTAATTCAAAGGGCTACCTTTTTATTAACATCAGGAAATAATGTGGATGGATGGCTGAAAATGGATCCCTATCATAGCTAGCTATGTTAATTTACCAGAAGACCCATCATATGCTATGCTCCAATTTGTTTCTAAAAAATAGTGTTTGTTATCCTATGTACTTATAGGTCAGGGTAAATTTGAAGCTCCAAAATGAGTAGCTCAACCTTTTGTTCCATGCCTTTCACTGTGAATGGCAACCTAAAGCTGGCCCAATGGAGAAATGTTATATATTCTTCAAATAAACTGGCTGCATACCAGCCCCTCAAATTAGCCGCTGCACGCGAACTGCTCGATGAAATTGCTAAAAGAACAAGGAGTTCAGTTGCAGATTTACATATCACTGAATGTGCAGATGGTGGGAATTTTGGAAATTCCAATGCAATTGATGACCTATTTGGAGAGTCTGTGATGGATTGTGTGTGCAATCATATGGATGAGCAATATATAATTGATCAGTTGAGGTACTGTAGCAGTGAAGGAATTCTTGAGCTTGGAGAATTATACCATGCTTTAACAATTAAGACCGGGATTTGGTTCAACAAGTTTGTAGCTACAGCCCTTGTTAATATGTATGCCAAATGTGGTCAAATAGACAATGGTAAGATGATATTTGATAGGATGTCTTGTATTGATGTTGCTTCGTGTAATAGCATGATTTGCGGGTATGTAAGCAATGGAATGATATCTGAAGCCTTTGCTTTCTTCATCGAGATGGGCAATCTGGATATTGTGCCAAACCACTATACCTACTCGATATTGTTATCTGCTTGTGGGGCTTCTACAGCTGTGAAAGAAGGAAAACAGGTGCATGCTCAAATTGTAAAATTAAAATTTATGTCACTTACAGCGGTGGCGAATTCAGCTTTGACAATGTACACCAAGTTTGGAATGATTGAGGAGGCCGAGAATGTGTTCCAAGGACTTGCCAATAGGAACCTTATATCTTGGACTGCATTTATATCTGGACTTTACCATCAAAAGGCCTTCAATAAAGCATTGACACAATTCTGTTTGATGAGAAAGAACAATACTGAACCTAATGAATACGCCTTTTCTGTGGCCCTGTCATGCGCAGCCTCTATAGAATCTCATGATTATGGTTGTGCACTTCATGCTCAGGTAATTAAACATGGAATGATCTCAATGGTATTCGTTGGGACAGCCATCATAGATATGTACTCAAAATGTGCAGAACTGAGTGGTGCTAGAAAACAGCTCGAGGAGATGGGACGTATAGCATCTTGTGCATCATGGAATGCAGTGATAACTGGCCTTGTTCGGAATGATGAATTTGCTGCCACGTTGGAGGTCTTCCATAAGATGCTAAATAATGATATAGCTTGCGATGAATATACATTTTCAGCTACTTTGAAGGCCTGCTCGTTACTACCATCTCTTGCGATCTGCAGGCAAGTGCATTCTCGGGTAGTTAAGGGGAAGTTTGGGACGAACCTGCATGTGGCAAGCTCATTAATAGAAACATATGCACAATGTGGCAATTTAGAAGACGCTGCCAAGGCTTTCTGTCTAACATCTACACCAGATGTTGTGACATTTAACGCAATGATTGGAGCTTATTCACAGTATGGTTATCCAACAAAGGCTATATTCTTGTTTGAAAAGATGGTGGAGAAAGGTATATTACCGACTAGTTTCACTTTCCTTGCTGTTATTTCTGCTTGTGGCCATTGTGGTTTAGTTCAACAAGGGAGAGAGTTCTTTGAGTCGATGACAAGAGATTACGGAATTCTACCTGAAGAGAAACACTATAGCTGCATGGTTGACCTGCTGAGTAGATCAGGGCAGTTAGAGAATGCTCTCGAATTCATAAACAAGTTGCCAAATGAACCCAGTGCTCCAATCTGGAGACCTTTTCTTGCAGGTTGCAGATTTCACGGTATCCTTGAAATGGCAGAGTTGGCGGCCAGTAAAATATTAGAGCATGAGCCGGGTGATGCATCAGTTTATGTCACTCTCGCGAACATGTATGTTGAAGCAGGCAAGGTAAGTGATGCACTCAAACAGAGAGAGCTGATGAAGTCTAGGTCAGTCCAGAAGGAACCAGGTTGTAGCTGGTTGGAGGTGAATGCAAAGGTTCATAGATTCTTTTCTGGTGATAGAAGACATATAGATACACCAAAAGTATATTGCAAATTGGAAAATCTGATGCAAAAGATTCAGACTGACTGTAACAATTTAGGACAAGTTACAGAAGAGAAGTGCTTATTTCACAGTGAAAGGTTAGCAGTTTGCTTTGGCCTATTGAACTTACCTAAGGGAACTGCTATACGTGTATTCAAGAACATTAGGATCTGCTTGGACTGTCATACGACAATGAAGCATATATCAAAGATCACAAATCGAGATATCATAATAAGAGATAATTACAGATTTCATCATTTTAAGCAAGGCTGTTGTTCTTGTGGGGATTTCTGGTGACGTTTCATCGGAGTAAATCCTTTTTTCATTGAACTCGGGGGGTACTTTGATCAAAGTTTAACAAAAGCTGAATTGGTTGATTGGATATAACCATTCTGAACATTGAAAAGAGTTGGGGTCGATAAGACGCAATGGCTAAGATGAAGGTATCATATATCAGTAACCTCAACATTATGGGTTTAATTCTCACAGAAACTTGCTATGACAACGCAGTAGTTTAAGAGCCTGTTTGGATGGGCTTTAAGCACTTTTTAACTTGTGGAAGTGTTTGGCAATCGAGAAATTAAAAAAATAGCCAGATTTACAAGTGGTCGTTCTTCAAAAGTAATCGAAATTTAGCCAATTTTCATGTAAAGATAAATCTGAGCGAAAACACTGTTCAAAACCCGAAAAATACACCAGTATATTATGCTGGAGTTGCAGCATAAGTATACTTGAACTCCAACATATTATACTGGAGTTCCAGGATAAGTATGCTGGAACTCCAGCATAATATGATGGAGTTCCAGCATAAGTACACTAGAACTCCAGCATAATATACTGGAGTTCCAGCAAAGTATACCGGTCTAGTATAATATGCTGGAAGTTCATACACAAGTGCTCGAATCTCCAGTATATTATGCTGGAACTTTCCGTGTGTTGGAGTTCCAGCATAATATGCTGGAAGTTCATATATAAGTGCACCGAACTCCAGTATATTATGCTGGACCGGTCTCTGTTGCAGGAAAATAGTGGCTATTTTTCATTGACTTGATAAACGCTGACTATTTTTGAATGACCAGTCCGAAAACTGGCTAGACCATGCTATATTTACCAAAAAAGGGGCTTAAAAAAAGTTAAAATCTCCTTAAAAAAGCCAAAACTGACAAGTTGGGTAAACCCAACTTTTTTGAAATTGGCTTAAAAGCCATATTGCTTTGACCAAGGATATTACATTTTTATCTCTTATAATTTTCCTAATCCCGAAATTACCCCTCAATCATCAGAATTTCTCTTCCAATTGTTTTTCCGCCGGAGTTTCCACGTCGGTGAAGTTGACCACCAGTTCCCGTCGGCCACTTACCTTCTCCTCCAATCTCTTTCTCCGGCGAAATCCACATGTAAGTTCCGCCGCCCTCTCTCTCTATCTCTCTCTTGATTTATACATAACAGCTAACTATTTTATTCTATTATTTATTGTGGTAAAATACGAATTGAAAATTTAGTTGAGCATTCCATTGTATAAAAAAAACATTGAAATCTGATTTTTATTGTTTCTTTGTGATTTTTACTAGTTATTATGCTGGCTTACTTATTTCGCCTGTGAGTAGTGGCTATTAAGTTCTGATAATGTTCCATAAGTAATCAATTAAATTAAAATATAAATTATTTTTCATTCACATTAATTGTGAATTAAATATATTGTAATAATCATCTCATTTATAATGTTAACAGCTTTAAGGATATTTTTGTCTTTCAACAGAAAAAAGTGCTTACCAGCACTTGTTTACCAAACACTTTAATGGTTTTTTAAGCGTCAGCACTTTTATCCAAATAGGTAACTGCTTATCTATAAAACAAGTTTCAGAACTTAAAGTTACTTTTAAGCACTTGTGTTTAAAAGCTACTTTTTTCCAGCTAATCCAAACGGGCTCTAAATTGGCATTGCATTCACTTAAGAAAAGCACTAGGACTATGTCATGGGCAACTTTGTACTTTTCATTCACTTTTTATTATTCATTACTTTAAAAAAAAAAAAAAAAAAAAAGAGAACAACCTCTTAAGTTAGCCTAGTTAGAGACAGGCTTAAGATCTGAACTTTATCGGTTCTGACCCAACAACTGAACTCATAGCGCGTTTTAGTAAATGTCTTCGCAATTAAATATTTAAATATATTTAATAAATTTTTAATATAAATATAAAATTTAATTAAAAACTAGTGAGTTCGTCCTAACTCATACGTAATAGAAGGGCCATATATCTTACTTCAATAGTTTAATCTACTTTTCGTAGAATGAGATTTGTGTTATTCTTTGCCAAGATTGTTAGGGATATAGTAGATATACCCTAGATCCAATCTCATATTTGATGATTTGAACATATTTTTGTGAGCGTTATTTGATATAACAATATATGACATCTGATATTCTTTTATCATAGTTATTATTAATTGTTTGATTAACTTGATTAGGTCCTTGATTAAATTTTGAGACTTGAAATTGTGATGGAGATCATGATAATGAGAGTGAACTTTCTTATAATTTAATCTAAATTTGTTCTTGATCATATGATTATTAATTTGGACATTAGTAATCCGGTTAGATCAATATTTATGTGATCGTCTTTATTGGATAAAGATTAGTTGATCTCATTAACCAAAACACATAGATAGATGATGCATATAGAGAAATGATCATTGGACCGACTCATTGGATAATTCCTAATGGTTAGAATTACCATAAACTGTCAATAGGATATTCTCTTGAAGAATGTGATGTAATCGTTTCCTTTGACCTGAGATCGTCATAATAATTGACAAGTTATATTGTGCTTTGATACTAGAAAACTATGGCCCTAGGGCGATAGTTGAAAAGATATTGGGTACGATTAAATACTTGTAGAATTATTGATTGATCAAGATGGAATTTGTCGACTCTTGGTAATGAGTTTAAGCTCCATGTTGTCATGAATTATAAACGACCAAATTAAGACCTTGGCCATGGCAATTGAATGAAAAGAAGAAAAGAGTTTCTTAGGTCATTCAATGGTCGATTATATTTGACATAGACACATAGTTGATCGCCTATTAGGATTTGACAGTTGAACCATATCCTAGGGTGACTCAGAGCTATAAGGGCAGATAGAAGTACTACTTTATTCTTCTACGGATTCTTGAGAGTAAATTGTATACTTCATTCTATCCGGTCGTTAAGGAGTGTTGCTAGACGCCACTCTTGATTAGTATATTGATGTGATCAATTTACTACCGCTTTAGTATTGAACCTATGGGTCGCACACTAACGAGTGTTCTGATCTTTGCTAAAAGATTTATTAACTTATTATTTGACAATTGAATTAAAGAATTTAATTAGTCAAATAAATAAAGTTATTTGTCCAAATAAAATATTATTATACTATTTGTTAGCACAGGGAATATAATTAATATTGTGAACAAATTGAAGTTTTTTATTTGGAATAGAAAAATAAAATATATCTCTTGGTATATATATATATATATATATATATATATATATATATATATATATNNNNCAAGTTAATGAAAAATAGCCACTATTTTGCTGTAACAGGGACCGGTCCATTATAATATACGGGAGTTCTGGTGCATTTGTGTACGAACTCCAGCATATTATGCTGGACCGGTATACTTTGCTAACTCCTCTAAAATTTGCGGGAGACTGGAGCACCAGTGCTCCAAACTCCAGTATATTATACTGGACAATTATACTTGCTGGAACTCCCGTAAAATTTGCGGGAGTTCCAGCATAGTTATCCTGGAACTCCCGTAAAATTTACGGGAGTTCAAGCATACTTATGCTGGAACTCCTGTAAAATTTGCGGGCGTATTTTTTCGGATTTTGAACAGTGTTTTCGCTCAAATTTAAAGTGACTAAATTTTGATGACTTTTGAAACTTGGCTATTTTTCAACGACCGATGGTACGTGAGGTTAGCTCAAACCCAATAAAAATGGGATTGACATTATTTAATATAAAATATTGACAAAAGGCTCACAAGTCAAAAACCAACTTTGAGTTGGATTAACTGAAAGTTCTTAAGGACATTATGTGAAAGTCCTAAAGACGTCGGCGACGGATATCCCATTAGAGTGGGATTTCGATTTTTTCCCTTAAAAGTTTATTTTGGAATAGACTTTTACCCTAAGTATATTATTACCTTAACCAAATAGGAAAAGGGTTTATATGTGATGCTATATAAAGGGTGAAGGAGAAAAAATTTACCGCAGTATTTTTTTGAGAAGAAAAACATATTGAGAAGTGTGAGTGCAATACAAAGCCAAGAGAGAAAATACAATTACAAGAAAAGTGTTTCTTGTTCTTCTAATTTGAGTTGATATTTTTGAGAAAAATTTCAGCACAAGTTTTTCGTTCAATTTGTTCCCGGATTTCATTGATCGAAGAGTTGATAGCAAGGATCGGTCTCGGTGTGGATACACATAGAGTCTTCGCACTAGCGAAATTTTGAAACGAGACTCTCTTCACCAGGTACGTCTTAGATCCGATCTTTGACATGTAAATAAATTTTAAATACGAAAAGATCTGCCTAGGATTGTTATTGTCTTCCACTGCGTGTTACGAACACCTATATACAATCCATCAGTGGTATCAGATCCGTGGTTTGTGTAAAATTTATTTACGAAATATTTTAGATTATATTTGAAGAGTTCAAACCATAATACATGTGTCTTGTGCAATAGTCAAATTGTTTGATTGTATATGGATTGATATAACTTTATTTTGAATAATATATATATATATATATATATATATATATATATATATATATATATATACATAGTTTACCCATTGACCTTACACTCAAATCCCTGTTACACACCTCACCTTCATGGGCAACCTTTTACACACCCAACCTTTGTAGAGTGTGTCTAAGACACACCTTCTTTGACCAAAACCTAGCATGTGTAAAACACCAAGATAGAAGCACGTCTACCAGCTAAAATACTGTCTAAATACTTATTTAATTCCACGTGTCAGCAAATCCTTCATCTTCCCCACCCTCCCTCTATCTCTATCGTATTTTTTCGCCGGCCAACCTCCACCTCCAGCCCTTCTCTTCTTTTTTCATCCTTTTTTTCTAAGCCTTTATTTGTTCAGAACTCTCTGTCCCTTCTTCATTTTTCTCATCAACACCACCACACGCCATTTTCCTCCATTGAAGCATCTTTTTTTACTTTTTTTTTGTTTAAGTGTAATTGATATTTTAGATTTGAAATACTCTCGCCTTACTATTAGAATTATTTAGTTGGGATTTATGCTATTGATTTGGAACTCAAATGGGTTCTTGAAATTGAGCAAAAATTTACAAGCTTAGAGTATAGCAATCCAAATTATAAGGGGCTTATACTCGTTCCTTTCTTCTCTCTTTTTGTTTGAATATGAAAATTGTGTTTCTATGGCGGTGGATTTGGGTGAGAAGGAGTCTGAGATCTTTTGCTCGAAAATGGTGGGTGGTTGTTATGTTTTTTGTGGCAACCACGAATTTTGAAAATGGAATGAAAATTTATTATTTTTGGATGAAAATGGAAGTTTTTTTTTGGTGTTTATCATTTTGGTGGATGAAAATACAAGGCTTCTGGCTTTGCTTTCACAGGATTTTCCGACGACTAAGATGAAGAAGATGGAGTATCGTTTTTAAGTGTTTTCCTTTTAATTTTAAAATGATGACACGTGTCAGAATCTTATTGGTGCGTGGTATACACTCGTTGAGAAAAAGTGGTCAAATGCTAAAGTGGTGTGTATTAGACACACATTTAAAAGGTTGAGTGTGTAATATTATTTTTCTCCACAAAAAGTGTGTAACAGGGATTTGGTCGATAGTTCAGGTGTCAACTTATGTATTTAGAATTTGAAATTTTCGTATTAGATACGACTGGAATTTATAATAGGTTATTGGATTCTACTGTTATTTTAATTGTTATTAGTTCATGAGATGTTAATTAATAATAATTTTCTAACATGAATTATTTTTATGTGATATATAAGATAAACATGTTAGAAGATGTTGAATTTCGTTTTTATGTCACGTGCTTGTTCATTACATAAGTTTAGAATTATTTATTACATGTGATGTAAATTAATTTAGGACTAAGCATGTAGACAACCTGAACTAAATTCACATGCTATAAAAGATTTGATCTTCATGTTATTAAAAATTGTTTTAGTAACAATTCTCTCTTACTAAAATTTGAGTTCTTAAATAATAAAATATAAGATATTTTATTATAGAGCTATCCATCAAAGTAATAATTTTACTTATTTCTTGTTTATAAGGAGCGGTCTGACTACGAGGAGAATTATAGTTCGAGAATATGTTAAAATTATTTATTGTATTAGATGCATGGATTGAAAGAATTATTCAATTTTTCACTAGACGTCTGGGCTATCCGGGGAGTATAAAATTTAATAAATTCTTTGCTATCATGATGGTTGAACTTAACTATGCCAATAGGATCGACCTGACTACCAGGTGACTATTTGACATAGAGCTATTTAAGGAAATTATATGGGGATACAATTGGTAAGAGTACTTACCTTTAAAATATATGTGAGAAACGACTTGACTTCCAAGGGGCTCATACATATTGTTAAAGGATTCCTTTACTCCACTAACAGAAATAAAGATTTCGTATACTATAATGAGGGTAAATAGTTTAAAATAATTAGTGGAAATATCATTTAGATAAAAGTTCATGTCTTTATGATAT